CGACATCACTTTACTGTAATACAGCCTTTAAATTTAGGTAAAGTTAACACTTAGGATACTACAATATCCAAAATTTAAGCCAACATCTAGTCTCACATCATGATATCAATATATTGCTCTGCCCTGGTTCCCTAACCAATTTCACCCAATCACCAAATTCTCTTGTTAATGAGAACAAATTGCTGCGTAGGATGTTGAGAAGAATTGATTTCTAGGAAAACAGCCTGTTTATCCAGGTGGGAAAAAACTTAAGAGTTTATTACCAAATTATGTCCTTACAGATTGGTGCATAGACTTGCAGACGCACCGATAACTGATGCAGCATTATAGGTAGTATCTGTAGCATTTCTGATGCTAGTATTGATACAACTCTAATTGTACTAAATTTTCCTTCAACTCTGGAAATATAATTTTACATTAAAGAACAAGATGAGGGCAAAAAAAAAAGCCAAGGAATGGAAACAGAAGAGGCCTCAGCATCCCTGGTGAATAGGAAGGTTCTACAGTTCTTGTACAGAAAAGGCCAGTACAGAAAAAGGAGGAGAGTGTTTGCGTAAAACAAGTGGAAGCAGCATAACCCTGGTCTTAAACTTTTTTTAAATTTACATTTTTATTCACGACATCTGGACTGCTCACTAAAAAAAGGCCAAACTGACTAAATTATCCAAATAAGTCCTTATATTTCGTCTCACATAATGACTGAAATGTTTAACTTCCATTTTTAATGCAGTAACATGTGATCTACATCCAACTGACACATAAAGAGATGATTTTGAGAGATGTTTGTATATTGGTTTTATGATTTATGACTTATGTATCCTCCTTTTTTCATTGTATATATTATGTCTGTACTGCTTCAAGTTGATTGCAGCTTGGTGTAGCACTACTGCCCAAACAAAATTTCCCTCTGCGGACAATAAAGTTGATCTTATTTAAACATTTTCAGAAAAATGTGATACATGAATATATAAATAAATATTCTAAGAAGGTTCTGTGATTTTTATAATTCTTTAATGGACAAAACTCTGTGTGCATTAAGTAAGCTGTGCCTATTCTACCTGAAGGTGTTTCTTACACCGGCAAAGCCTCCTCCACACATTCACTTTCATGCCAACAGGGATTTTGGCAGCACTGAGTGCTGCAGTCAAAGCTTTGAACGCTGTTGACTGCAAACTGATGCTACCATCTAGTAAGGCTCTCCATAAGGATGTCTGTTGCATATGAAAAATCCTTCTCTTCACACATCACTGCTGAAATTATATTTCTCAAAAGGTGTGCTGAATGTTGTGCAGTGTCTATTTCAGTTTTTGAAGTTATCAGTTTTTGACCCAGTATCCTTGTTGGTGGGTTTATGTTTTATTTCTCTTGGCCCTAAAAATGTTATTTTATGAGGCTCTTATGAACTCTGACCTGCTGACTTGTTATTGTTGTTATTGTTCATGACATCTAACAGATAATCAACAACACCAAGTTTGATCATTATGCAACTCTATCATTCAAGAAAAAATACCAAACATTGTCTCTCTCAACAAGTATCTATTATCAATTAGTCTGCCAACTATTTTTTTATTATAAATCAACTGCTTGATTAGTTTATAAAATGTCAAAAAATAGTGGAAAAATGCTAATCACAAATGCCCAAAACTCAAGTTGACACCTTGAAACAGGTTTATTCTGTGTCTTGGATTTGGCGTATAAAGAGTTTAACTGAGTACACATCCTCCAGCAAAAAAAGATAGATTTTTTGTTAGCTATCTTCGGTGTAACTTTGTCAGCAGCAGCTGACTCTTCTGACCCCCTATCAGCAAAAAAAAACCAAAAAAAACCACTAGAACCAGTACTCACCCTGTCCGTCCTCTTTGAACACCAACTCTCTCTTCTCAGACTCATTCTCATTCTTTCCACGTCGCCGATTCTTTCCTCCTTTACCTATAAACATGCACAAGGAGATATCAATCAATGTTATCCATTCATTTTTTATGGATTCTTGTCACTGACCTAGCAGTGTATATCAGTTCGCTTTCAGTTCCAGTTAAGTCTACTTCTCTTTGTGTAAATTTCTAGTTGTCGAACTACCTCCAAAGATAACCTGCCTGGAAATGGTCAATTAAAAACTAGTGTTAGCATTGGTAGAATATAACAAGGTACAATTACTCAAGTATTGTAATAGAGAATAAAATTGAGGTCATTTATTTGAGTGTTGTCTTTTCCATGTTACTTTCTGCTTTTACTCACCTACATTTCAGAGTGAAATATTGTACCATTAACTTCACTACACTTAACTGACAGCTTTAGTTACTTTACAAATAAAGATTTTTACAAAATATACGAAGTGTATACAATGTGATGTCTGTTATAAATTAAACTGCTCAGCATACATACATGCACAGCTATAATATCTACCCATCGACTATTCGAATAATCTTATATCTTCGCATAGTTCAGATTTATATTTAAAATCCTATGACTTAAGCAACACAGATTGTAAGCTTTGTAAGCTTTACAGAAAATAGTATTAGAACCTCTGGAACACATTTTTTGCCATATATTTATTATTTTAAATACTTCCTCCACAACTGCACATTAGATACTTTCCATATGTGTTTTTAACCAACTGATTAGATGATCTTTTGCGGCAATTACGTTTAATCCAAGATATTAGTCTACTTACCCTTATTAGTAAAGCAATATAAAAAAACATAATATGCAAACATCAACAAATCATAACATAGCTGGGATACTATAAAATAACATTAGCAACTGAAACACTACAAGTAACTAGTAATATGGAGAAGAATAAAAATTTGAAAAGGAAATAATTTCCTGCGTTTAATATATGCATTGAAAAAACTTCAACACTATATAATACCAAAATTAGGCTACATTACTCTTATTATACTTACATACTTTTACTTGTGTGACATTCCCAATGCAGGGCTTTTATTTGTAACAGAGTATTTCTACAGTGTGATATTAGTACTTTTACATTAGTCGAGGACCTGAATACCGGCTCAAATACTGAGTGTCATCCACTGTCAGTGTAGCTGGGAGCACTACAGCAGATAGGGAATGACAAGAACAGTAGCTAACGTTAAAGTTGCCTTGCTAGTTCGCTAATCTAAATGACATACTTGAGACGGTACGCTCAATTTTGATAATCAATTGAGTTTAAAAATCAAGTACAAGGTTACCTGGTGATATCAGGGGTTAACTTGGGTGAAATAAAAGTCCCAGATGTCACGGGCCACACCGGGGTGGGGTTTAACTAGCTAGTTAGCTGTGTCAGCTATCAACGTATTAAACAGCAAAGTACGTTAGCTATTAGCTGGCTAGCAGCACCAAGTGTTGTACAACTTTATCTAGCTTGAACTAACTTCGTCATTATCTCAGCCGAATTCTTGTTTAGGGAATAAGTTGGACTCAGACACTAGTACACGACTTATAATTCTTGTGAATTTCCCCGCGCGGATGAATAAACTATCTACCTATGTGTCTATATATCTAATTCGTGTTGCTAACAAGCGTTAGCTGGTCGGTGTCACGTTTTCACTGCGTGTGTCGTAGCGGCGGGCTCGACAAGACAATTAACAACACTGAAACATACGTTTACATATCCCTCCGTCCCTTACCTTTATTTTTGGGCATATTCTTTCACTCCTCGATCACGTTAATCCCGCTCGGTAGAAACGACTCACGGTTAAACAATAACTGTGTACAACAGTCAGCGAGAACACAGGTCTGAACTGACTGAACGCTACGAGAGAAACTAGCTAGTCACCGCTCATTCGCTCTGCCGATTTGCGCATGCGCCTGCCAAGGAATTCAAAACTGCGTTGCTTTATTGTAATAGGTGATTGTTACAGAGACAATCACCTGTTGTTGCAAATGGCAAATAAATACACTCAAAAACAGTACTTAAAACAAGTATGTAGTCTTTTACTGTGACAATACTCCATTACAAATAAAAGTGCCGCATTCAAAATATAAGTAAAATGCATAAGTATTCGCACCAAATAAACTTAAACTATCAAAAGTAATGCATTATGCAGAGTGCCTTATTTTAGAATAATGTATTACTGAACTATAATTATTGATGCATTAATGTTGGTATAAAATTACACCATGCATCAGTGCCACAATCCCTACAAACAAATATTATTGTTGGATTTTCAAATTTTCAATGGTCTTTGGACACATCATGTGTGACGGATGCTTCCGTCAGAAAAAAACAAAAAACAAATCTGAGCTTAACATGGTGATATTTCATTAAAATAGCTTTATTCTGCATGTGTCATTTAAAATTTGGCCAAGAATACAAGAGTACAAGAATAAACCATTTGCACAACTAACCAGCATTGACAAGAGTGAAGAACCATGGCTTTTTTCAACTCCAGGATTTCAGCGTCATCTTTTAACTTCTAACTTTCAAATGTCACAAGGTAAGTTTTAGAAATCTGATAACTAATTTAAGCTGGCAGAGGGGTCCTGCATTTTCTGCCAGTCACTCAGGGCAGCTCAAGAAAAAGTATTTGTAGCTTTGGGGTCTCTAATTATGAATTAACAAATCTCTTTATTGTTACTGTTATTTCTTGTTTAATGGTGCACTGCGGGTCTACCTATGGTATGTCTAAAGTGGTGTTACCATACCCAGTCAGAACACGGCATAATACAACATGTTGGGGGTAGTGTTTCTTTGTGTTTGTTTTTGCATCACCTCAGTTTGTTTATTATTTTACATTCTGCTGGGTAACTTATTCTAAGATAATGTTTTAGTTGATTTCTATTTTGTATTGATAATCCGAATGTACAAAGCGTATGGTACAAAGTAACTGGTGACTAATGTCAAATAGATTAAGTGGAGTGGAGGAAAAAAGAACAGCCCCTTCATATTACAGTATTTTTCCAGTTAGTACAGTGCTGTATTACTCCGCGCCACCAGGGGGCGAAGGTTCCCCCGGTGCGCTGCTGATGTTTATATTTTCCCATAAAGAAGCTGGACATTTTGGGGGAGCTGAGCAAATGATTCCCATCGAAACCTGGCTACCCTCCTGCACCGACTAAAGCCTAAATATCCTCTCTCTCTGAACATTTAAACGTGAGTTTCAGCTTTTGATTTTAACCGATAAATAGCAAACTGGTGCAAAGTTAAGAAAAGAATAAAGTAAATTTTCGGTTGGAAACTTGTAGCCCCGTTAGCTGCCTTGTTGCTAAGCTAGCTGCAGTTTTGTCTCCAGCTAACGAGGTTTGGCTGTGATGGCCGACTTCAGCAGCAGGATCATGGTGAGTAAATATTTATTCAGTACATTTAAGAGTTTAGCAGGACGAGTAGTACTGCTGCTGCTTTTCTCTGGACTCAATAAAACGGAACATTATGTGTGCTTGTCTGTGTACCATATTAGCTGCGGTGAAATGTAACTAAGTACATTTACTTAAGTACTGTACTTAAGTAGGCCTACATATTTGAGGTGCTTGTACTTTGCTTGAGTCTTGTCTTGTCATGCTATATTATACTTTACTCCTCTATATTTCAGAGGGAAATGTTGTTGTTTTTATACTGCATTTATCTGACAGCTTTAGTTGCTGTATAAATTAAGATTATTGCATTATTAAACGTATGAAAAGTTTATATATTTTTCTGTTTGTTTAGTAATTTATTTAAAATGATTTTTTTTCTTTTATTTTACAATTTTAATTTTATTATGTTATTATTTATTTGTTTATTAGTAATACTGTGAGCCTTTGCACATCTCCAAGAACGTAGTTTTGCACATTCCTGCCTAGCTCTTTCATGGTAGACAGTTACATAGGTCATATTTTTAAATTGAATGTTATGCTATTTTAAATAGAAAGCTGTGGCAAGGCCCTGCAGTTAAATTTGTCTCAAGACCTTGCCCCCCTCTGTATAGGTCAAGTAGACATTATAATACTGAAATGAAGTGAATGATTAAATCGTGAGGTAATGTACTGTATGGATGGATGTTTTGCTTTGTTACCTTTTTCTGTATGTCTGTCTCGTATAAATGTAAATTTGAAATAAAATAAATAAATTAATAGCATGTTTAAAATGTTCTTTACTGTTTATTTTTCATATTTTATATTAATGTTTCTCGTCTATGCACCAAAACACCAAAGCAAATTCTGTGTGTGAAAATCTGCGTGGCAATTAAATAGAATCTGATTCTGATGACATTAAATCATCACCAACAGGTCATACACATACAGCTAAAACAATTAGTTGATTTCTCCAGTAGTTGATTGTCAGAAAATTAATTGGCAATTATTAATTTTTGATTATTATTATTTATTTATTTTTCCGTGTAAAACATTTCATGGTTCCAGCTTCACAGACTTTTCCTTTTTATAATGTTGATAATTGTGGTGTATTAGTGATAATGTTAAAGACTGGACAAAACAAACTTTGTGAATGTGACACTTTGGGCTTTGGCTCATTATGACAAATATTTCTCACTGTTTTTCCACTATGTTTTTTTTTACAAACTAAACAATCAATGGATTAATGGAGAAAATAATCAGCTAATTAACGCATTATGAAATTAATAGTTTGTAATAGTTCATTAATAGTTCAAACTGAGCTCCACCCTAACCAACTACAACTGTAAATCCTGCTTTTAAATTAATGCATGAGTCAGTATAATATAATAAGATCACATATAATAGTATAACAATCACAAAGGACATTTCGATGCTAGATACTTATAGCTACATTTTACTGACTATACTTTTACTGAAGCAACATTTTCAATGCAGAACTTATACTTGTAACAGAGATTGTTACAGTGTGGTATTAGTACTTTTACCTAGGTAAAGGATCTGAATACCAATGCATATTAGTTATATTTAGCATGTGTTTAGCATGAGTGATATTTTTGCCAGAATTATTTCAAATGAAAGAATGTTGGATATTACTCTTTCTTTCCATCTTATTTAAAATAATTTAAAACACGAATATGAAATAAAAACAACACAATACTTGAAATAGCGATACTTCTAAATAACATTGACAATTGAAAAATTACAGGTAAACTGAAAAAACTAGTTGAATAAAGATAAAAAATAATACACTGCTTTTATTTTAGACTTGCTTTAAAAACCCTGAAACTAAACACCATACAGTTTATGTGTTCATAGTTCATTTTGTCTGTTAATTTATTGTACAAAATTAAGAAAACAACATTACCTGCCATCTTCATGCTGTGAAAAACAATATACATTGTTTTCTCAATAAGTAATCTAGTCATTTTGTGTGTAAAATATCAGAAAATAGTGAAAAATTCTCATCATAAAGGCCCAAAAGTCAAGTAGACATCTTCATATTTGTTGTTCAAAATGGCATAAAAAAAAACCATAAGATAAACACATTTAAGAGGCTGGAATTTTTCTCTTTCTGCATAGGGTAGATGAATAAATTATTGATTGATGATCAAAATAGTTGATTTTTCAGTTGATTGACTAATAATTTCAACTCTGCCTTGTTTTTAAGACTCTTAAAAACTTTTTAATTTTCAACGTGTTTTACAGCAAAAAAAATGTTTATTCTGTTGAGTGTGACTCTATCTGTTTTTCTCTTGTTAGATGTCTTCTGAACACCCAGCGATCGGAGGTGGGCCTGCAGGAAAAGCGATTTTGTCTTCAGCCGTGTCAGGCAGTGGAAACAGGGACGTTGCAGATGGGATGGACCAGATATCTGTGGTGAGAATCGATGATGAACACATTGCAGAGGAGCAGTCTGATGTTGGGGGGAAGGTTAAAGACACTGCACAGTGCTATGAGGTGGAGTACTTGATGCCTGCAGAGGAGGTCGTTGTGGGAGAGGAAGAGGAAGACGATGTTTACGTCATTGAGTATTCAAATCCTGAAGAGGAAGGAGAGAGCTACAAGTTCACAATGTCCGTGGACAGATCGCTCCCGACCAAAAAGCCAATAATTAAACATCCTTTGGTGAGGGAGAGTGCCAGAGCTCCTTTACCTGTGATGACCAGCCCAGCCAAACTGCCTATGCCAGTGAAGCCGAGAGATAAGGTGAGGCGGAAAAAGAGGAAGCAGCTGGCTGTCAAAAAGGAGGCGAACAAGTTGGAAGTTCTTAGCAACACGGATGTGTTGAAGCACGGAGAGAACTACAGAGAACTGATGGGGCTGGACTCCAGTTCAGATAAAAGAGAACTGGTGTGCACGCTGTGCCCACCGCCCGGAAAACACTTCAAGAGAGCCGCAGGTTTGGCCGTACATTTAAAACACATGCACCACATGGAGGGAAACAAGACGTTCTTCTGTACAAAGTGCGAGCAGACGGTTCGCACCCAGATTGCACTTGATGCTCACACAAAACGCCACGCCAACCAGGAGGCCGTGTTCACCTGCCTCCTCTGCTCAGCAGAGACGGACAAGACAGGGTACAAAGGAACAAGGTGGGGTCTGAAGAAACACCTGGAGACGGAGCACCCGGGTATCATCCCTCGCTGCAACATCTGTAATAAAGGCTTCAAGTCACTTGTGTCATATTTGGGTGATCAGTTCAGGCATGTTGGCGTGTCGCCCTATTACTGTGCCCAGTGTCAGATCTATGAAATGACTGAGAGGGGTCTGAGTGTTCACATCAAGAATCACGACAAGAAGAAGAAGAGAGAGCAGCTGAAGGAGTCTGGTGAGATCAACCTGCAGACGTTTGAAACTTCTGCTAACGTCGGCTATGTCACAGACGATTCTGACTTCTAATCAGTTTTGTTTTATGTCTGTATTATGAGTATTATGATGAAAGCAGCACAAGCTCAGTGACCTCTCTGTCAGACCTGTCTGACATTTATGCATCTTTGACTGAACTTTGGTGATTTTAGAATTTGCCTCAAGCTGGGTGGAGTCTTCTACCTTTAGCATCCATCAGTGTCACATGTTGAACAGTTGGAGTTCGAGAAAATTACTTTTTTTTCACAACCTGGGTCTTGTTTATGTATATTTGGCCATCACTACTCTTCGGTATGTTTCATTTTTCTCACAAGCTTCATTTAGAGGTCCAATGTGTAGGATTTAATGGGATATATTGGCAGAAATTAAATATAATATAATAAGTATGTTTTCTTACCTGAAAATAAGAAACGATGTGTTTTCATTACCTTAGAATGAGCTGCTACTATCTACTTAGGTAGCAGGTCCTTGTCCACGGAGATTGCTATGTTGCACCGCCATGTTTCAACAGTAGCCCAGAATGGACAAACCAAACACTGGCTCTAGATAGGGCCAATCATATTTCGCCTCAGTCACCATAATAAGAAGCCCCTCTGCAATTAGCAGCGTTAAGAACCCCCCCCCACTTATTTGTAATGTGAAACTGCTTTATTCAGCATTTTTACCAGTTTAAACCATTTAGGCTGTTTGTTTCAACATGTCATTCAGCACAGAGGAAACACTGTTTGTAACATAAAACTGCTTTATTTAGTGTTTTTAGCAGTTTTAATCACCAGGGCCCTATTTCAGAGAGCAGACTCAACAAACTGCCTAATCCCGATCTCTGATTTGACTGAGCCTGAGCTGGGAAACTTTTCGGTTCCAGAACAGCAGATCAGCATTTGTTCAATCAACTCTGAGTATGTTCAGCCTGAGGGAAGCGCGTTCACTGTGAGCACCAACAGCCATCATCATTGGAGTGCAGATAACATCTGCATCTTTAGTGGCAGAAAGCAGAGAGCCACTTATTTCATCCCAACTGAAATGGAAACTTTAATGAGCGCGAATGAAGACTTCAAACATGTCTTCAAAAAAAGAAAAATCAGATACAAACAGCTGCAACTTAACAGCATGAGGTGTGATGGGGAATTATTGCAGAGTGTTAATAGGTAATGTGAAGTGATGTTATGTAATGATACATTAATACATGTCTAATATACAGAAAATATAGAAACTTTTTTTATCTTAACAGTGTTAATATATTTTAATATAATTTCCTAGCAACAACTCAAAATCAAACACAAATATATTGTACAGACTGGTAAATTTTTTTTAGTTGTACTTACGTTGTTCTTGGAATATTGGGCTTTGGTTAATTGAATTGCTGTGAAATGACTTCCTGTTAACACTGACAAACCTGCAGTTCTGTGGAATTCCTCTTTGATGATCCTTTCTGATTTATGCCAAGGGAAAACCACAAAAACAGGCAAAAGTCTTTTCAGTGCCAGAGTCACTTTTCTTATGGCCTGACAAACTGTTGCTTTGCTGATGTGTTCAGTGTCTCTGATGTTATAACGAAAATTGCCGTTGCCGAAGAATCAAAGGGCAATGCATAAAATTTGCTCCGATGATAATGCAAATCCAAGATGTGTAATATTTGATATGTGGGTGGAACAGATTGTTAGATAAGTGATAGACGGTGAGGTGATACGGTATCTTATAGACACTCCTCCGGGGAGACATCCAAACGGGGTCTAATCACCTTCTCCTTATGCAACAGCCTCTGAATAAACTGTGCCTCAACGTCCACAACTTAATTCATAAAAGGACACGCCATGTCTCTCCTTCCTGCTACACGCTCAGTGAGCGATAAGTTTCAGGCTTAGATGAAGCCAGCAGGTTTGCTTCACGGAGTAAGTTGCCATAGTAACTAACTCAGGGTTACACTGAACTGGCTTTGTGAAACAGAAAAGTCAGAGTTTCCCTCACCTCAGTCTTAACATACTCAGAGTTTTCACTAATCCTGCTCTCTGAAATGGGGCCTGTGGTTTGTTTGTTTGTTTGTTTGTTTTGGAGAGCAAGAGACCAGAAAAAAGAACGCCTAAACAATAAACACTGAAGGAAATCTAACCAGGAGAAGTTTCAGCTGGTTGCAATGTGTGATCCTCACCACTAGATGGCACTAAATCTTACACACAGGACCTTAAATGAAAAGTTTGACATTAGGGAAGTAAATTTATTTGCTTTCTTGCTGAGTTAGATGAGATCGATGATACTCACTTGCCTGTGTCATTGTGTCTACAAAATGTCAAGAAATATTGAAAAATGCCTGTTTAAGTTTCTTGTGATGTTTTTAAATGTTACACTGAGTTTGATAAACAGTCCCAAACCCAAAGATATTTAGTTAACAGCAAAAGTATGACTTAGGAAAAGCTGAAACCAGATCATTTTTGGTGTTTTTGTTTGAAAAATGACTGAGAATGTTTTAATCATTATAAAAACAGCTGCCATTTACATGTTTTTTTTTCCCCGATTCGTGCTCTAATGTAAATAAGACCAAGGTTGTAAAAGAAGCAGGTTTACATGCTGTATTCAGTCTTCTTCATTAGTGTTTGAGTCAGTGCATGCGTGTGTAAATACTGTATATTCTGCATTACTCACGAGATATTCCAGTTCATGAAAGTAAATGATCCTGCAGGTTCACAGCAAACTGAGACAGTGTAACATGTAACATGTTGATGTTTACATGCAGGCAGCTTAATGTGGTTTAAAGACTGATTTTCTAACATTTTATACTGAAATACTTCCTGTCCACAGCTTTTTGTTCTCATCTTTTAACAGCTGCAGGTTTCTTCCAGTAGAGGGGAAAATGATGATCTCAGTATGATCATTAGGTATCACCTGTGTAAAGTGTTGGATTTCAGAAGTGTTCAGATCTGCAGGTGGACATAACAAAAATAAACACTATACTAACCCATGCGAAGGACAAAGCCAGTATTTTTTCATGTTTTACTGTGAAACGTTCTTTGCTTTGCTGTTTTTTAAGGTTGATGTGAGTTTTTCTACATGTATGCAGCAGCACATCAGTTCAGGGAGCTGTGAAAAATGAACCTAAGGTGCTTAATCCATCACAGTGAACATGTAGGCTTCATTATTTTATTTTATTTTATCTTATTTTGATTTATTTTTGTCAAAGCTGGACGACAGCTTAAAAGGTAGCATGTAAGATCTGCTGGTGTGGTGCATTCAAGTGCTCGTGGGACTTCTGAGACCTCACAGAAACTGGTTTAATGCAAGTTGCAAATAGTAGAACATGTTTTTGTTCATCTCTTTTTTTCTGTATTCTGGGGTTGATTTCACATAAACATACTTCATGACTTTGTTGTTTTTCTGCAGTCAAAACTCAGTTGTTTGAAAAATGTTTGTTTGAACATACAGTGTCTAAATTTCTGCCACAAAGAGTTTCTCAATCAAAATGATTACAAAAATGTTCATCACTGAGGAGGTTTTTACTGTGAGATGAATTATCTGCAGAGGTCTCCTCCTCTCCAAGTCAAACTGACAAGGTAATTTAAACCAGTAAAAACACTAAATGAAGCAGTTTCTCATTAAAAATCTGTGTCTCTCACATGCTGTTTGGCACAGCAGGGGCTGGAGCTGAGCTACTGCTAACATTTGCTCAGCTTGTTTCTCTGATAACTAAAGATCCAGACATCTGATAACTAAAATCCTTTGTCCTGTTAAATCATATAATTGAGAACAACCAAGAAAAGAAAAAAGTGAACTGTCAAAATAACTGTAAAATGGATCAAAAGTCCATTTCTGTCAGCTTCTTGCAGACCACCACAACCCTGACGCTTGCGCAAAGGGAATATGACGCCACTGACAGTCGACAGCGACCAAATGACGCAGACTCTGTTCTTGATTAAAATGACAGATTTCTCTGGGTTTGAATGTGGTTGGAAACATTTGGGATAATGTTAGTACACAACTAAGTAAACTAAATAACATTAAGCCTAATCATTGTAAGACATTTAAATGCTGAAAATTTACTTACTATATCCTTACAAAAACCCTGAAAGAATTTTCTAACTTACGGCTGTTTGAAATAACAGTGTGTCAGATGTTCCTTGTGATGGATTAACTATCTCAAAACACGTTCTGAAAGCTGATTTCAGTCAGTTAAAATAATAGGTGTCCGTAAAGTACATGATGTTATTTGTATTTGTATTAAATGGGATAGAAAATAAAATAACAGCGTGATCCAGGTAGTTGTATTTTTCTAAAAAGAAAAAAAAAAAAAGCTGCATGCATGTAAACATCGACACTACAAAGAGAAAAAAATATTGGTGCTTTCTTACAGTAATACTAAATTCCCAACAGTTCTGGAGCTTTCGATTGTATCGCATCGTCTTCTTCAGCTGATATATCGCTCAGTTATCATGAAACAACAAAGGGTGCAAAAAAAAAAAAAATAGAATTTGAGCTTCTACAACTCAGTGAAGATCATGTGATGTTATCAAAAGCTCTAGAACAGAACAGCTACTAAACTGGTGAGAATGTTTTGTCAAAAACCTGATGTAGAAAATTTAGCTAGAAAAGATTTAGAAAAGTAAAACATCAAATTATTTAGCTCAACTGGAAGAAATGATCCACATGTAAAATATTTTTTTATCATCTTTAAAGATCATTTAGGTTGTTAATGGAGTAAAAATACCAAAAAAATTAAGTTACCATCATTTTTGACATTTTAAAGGCTTAAAAAAATCAGTGAACCCCCAGAAACTAATGGATAGATGAATTTATTATTAATGTGTCTCTTAAAGTTTTCGCTTGGGACCCTTTGAACCAAATCAGTGTCTGATTTAAACTCCTCATTACAATTTATTTACATTATGCATTTACATGAGGAAAAAAAGTATTAATGAGGTTATTATGTTGTTATTTCAGAAAAACAGAGATATTGTTTTCGGAAATGAATGCATTTTACATCTGTGCAGTCTTAGTGTGGTCATAAGTTCTCAGATTATCTGATTTGAAGGATATTTTGAGAAGAGGGGGTCAAATATTCAGTATTTCACAGGAGGAAAACAAAGTGAGACAAAAGAAACACAAAATAAACAATTTTCCAGATTTAAATTTGGACCCTTTTAGGGCCCCCAACCTGCAGATCAGGAGCCACTGAGGTTATGTGTGTGCACCCTTATTGATGGTGTGTTAAACAGAAAGTGTGACGACACACTTTCACTGAAGCCTGCACTAACAGTTTAAATTAAAATGTGAAACCATGTTTTAAGCCCAAAATGTGGATTAAAAAACCCACTGATGATAAATACTGTATGTGGAGATGGTTTGATGCAACCTTCACTCATTTA